GGAGAGATACTTCGATATATCGTTTCGTTTCTCCTTTTTATATTAGGATAAAGGCNAGGATACCTCAATGCATGATAAAACGAAATATTAACCAAAAATACTTACATAAGAGTCGCTCCCGCATTGAAATGATCAATTGCCTTACTCGATGTGTATTTGATCTTGGTGGATGCCATTGTTTGCTTTGGATTCACTTCACTAAATTTCAGCGTCGAAAAATGCAAAAATATCACCTCGTGCGTAACCGGAACCTCACCCGAGCGAAGCGCCAGAGAAAATGAACGTAATTCTATTCACGGCCACGACGTCTGATGGCGCGTCGGATTCAGTCTTACGCGTTTCGATAATTTCGAGATGGAGAGATACTTCGATATATCGTTTCGTTTCTCCTTTTTATATTAGGATAAAGGCGCACAATCCATTTTTTCTCTGATTCTTCGTCACTGTCGATTCCATATACATTAATCGACAATTCATTCATTTTCTCAAACTTGGGAATGTCTTTTAATGCCATAGGGTATTTGAAATTACCAAATCTTTTCATANTTTCTGATTCTTCGCCACTATCAATTCCATATACATTAATCGACAATTCATTCATTTTCTCAAACTTCGGAATATCTTTTAATTGAAGTTACCAAAGCTTTTCATGACAGTGCTGAAAGAGGGATATGAGTTTGTTTGTTGCTTATCTCGAACGTTACAGCGAGCGGCCATAATGGACCATAAGAAGCAGTAGGCATCGTCTTTATTTTGAACGTTCACGACAACATGTTTCTTTTTAATCCATTTAGGTAGTTCAACGAAGCTGGATCCTCCGCACAATGGATTATATTTATTTATGTTCACTTCTAAATTGATGACGTCCACTAATCTCCAGCTTAAGTCTTTTTCCTGGAACTCATCCGCTTTCACAAGAAGTTTTTCTCTAATATGCTCCTCGAACTACTATTTAATATTAGTTGAATCAAGAATTATTTCATTTTTGGTACTGAAATATTTTTCTTCTTCAATCAGATGTTCATCTCTATTAATTTCCTCTTAACACGTTAACACTACATTCACTTTCAAACTTCCTTCTTGTTTCAATGCATTTTTCAAACGTACACAGAGCATTCGTCTAGCATCATCTAAAAATTTGGGTATATCTGGATTTTTCACGTTAATAATTACACCGGTTCTCAAAAACACTTTGTAAGTCCTCCCATCGGACTCTATCGGTTAAATTGCCACTTAAATCTCCTCCTATCACTTCCAAGTTTCTGAATCTTGCGTAGAACGCCTTCAGTCGTCCTAACATGTGAGTTAAACGTCTTCTCTCACTATGACTCGCACTCCTCTTCAATAATGCATTAATTTCTTTCGAATGTCCTCTGATGTGATTAAGCCATTGTTGAATTTCCCTGGGTCTCTTATTAGTTTTCACTATTTCATACGCATCTTCCAATGACCTCAATAATCTTTTACACGCGTTAGGATCCGTGTTCATGATAAAGACACTAAAGAACTAGCGGAAAATCAAGGTGAAATTTGTTTATATAGATACATATGTGAGTGTGCCTACGCTTGTACACTCTGTAAAATCTTACGTGATTGGTTGAAAAAGAATCATGTGACTCATGGAAAAGTATTAACAAAATAGCAACATTTTTTGTTCGTGGGAAAAAAAAATAGCTGAAAAATGTCCAGGAAAACATTTAATCTTTGCGGTGCGATAGGACATCAAACTCCGAAAACTCTGCTCCAGTTTGTCAAACATCATGTTCTTAGGGTTGTGAGTACAACGTGCGTTCCCAGGTAACCCGAAAAAGTCTATGTAAACAAAAGATTGCGTTCGGACATCTTCCAATGCATTTCCATTCTTATCAGTTTGCAGCAGATGGAGATTTTTCGGAAACTCCTCCTACTACAACGTGTAAAATTTGTCGAGGACTATGTCAAATTGGTGGAGGTACCTAAGTTTTTGAATGACTGATCCTCTGCCTTTGCAGATATACATACTCCCTCCCTTTCTGAACTCTTCTTTTTAAAATGAATATTTACATATTGATATCGTTATCAACAAAAATTTCACACGAATGGAAGCGGCAAACAGGAAAGTACGGGAAATCTCAAGTTCAGACATGCCAGGAAAATGTTTTTTTTAATAAATATTTATATATTGATATCATTATTAACAATGATTTCCCACGAATGGGAGCGGCAAACAGGAAAGTACGGGAAAACTCAAGTTCAGACATGTCAGGAAAATGTTTTTTAAAATAAATATTTATATATTGATATCGTTATCAACAACAATTTCACACGAAGGGGGCGGAAAACGAGAAATTACCGGAAAACTCAAGTTCAGACATGTCTGGAAAATGTCAAGTGGAGCCAGGTGTCAGCGTTTGAAGAAGAAGAGGAGCCCTTTCTATGATTTCTACAGCAAACTAAAGCAGCGAATTAGTTAACCCTATCACCCCTCGCGGCAGTGTACTGAGAAGTTCGGATGTACTAATTGATTAATTAATTAATCGATCCTCGAATTTAGCCGTGATTTGCGGAATTAATCTACGAATCAAACCGCGACCTGCGAATTAATTAACCCCTTCACTCACCCCCTCGCGGGGTGGATTGACTAGGTCACCGAGAAGGTCCTTTGTAACGCAAAACCGCGAATTAAATTGATTAACCAGCGAATTAAATAACCCTTTCATCACTTCGAGGGAAAAAATCGCGAATTAATTAATCAAACCGCGAATCAAACAGCGACCCCGTGAATTAATCAACCACCCACCCACCTACTTTCATCTGACCCCCCTACTGGGCCCCAACGACCAGGTCGACGCTAAAAACGTTGCCCCAGAACATACTAATGAATTGAAAATTAATTAATTGATTAATTAATCAATAATTAAATCAATCAATAATTAATTAATTAGCGCGAATTAATTAACCCTTTCACCCACCCAGCCCCCTCGCGGGGGCCCTTTAGCCAGGTCGACGCCAAAAACGTTGCGCCAGAACCCGCATTACTACACTACTGGGGAGGCCAAGCAACTTTTGTACACGTAAAGAGGGATGATTCTAAGCAAAACAAAAGGGAAGAAGCTAGACGTGTCTAGGGAATTGTAAATGATATCAATGAAGTAATAATTGATCCGATTGAACACTAAGGGGAATATTCAAAATACAGTGTAGGCTCACCGTTGGAGGTAAATACTTGGGGAACAAGGGAATAATGGGAAAATGGGGAAGGTAACTCGTACTCACGACCACGTGGGTGCAACTCGGGGACTTCCGGGCGGCACAACAAAATCTTCAATAATTCGGGGGGGTTTTTCTCCAGGGTTTGAGCCTCCGTTCCAACTGGACGACTACTGGATTCCAATTCCAATGGCTGAGAGGTGTACTAGGATGCATGCAATTTTCCTCTTTTATCAATACTTCTCCAAACCCAAAATTACGGGGCTTCTCGGGGAATACTTTTCGGGGCACGTGGAAACACTCGAGGCGGCTGTGTTACGAGTGACTCCTTTCTTCTCTTCTTTTTCGTCGCGATTTCTTCGCATTTCTTCCTTCGTTTCCTTCATTCGTCAGATTTCGTACTTGATCGTCACCTGACTTAGATCTCTGGAGGGGGCCAGGGGATATCACACAGGAGCTTAGTCACCTGGGCTGCTGATGATGCGTGTTTTTGAGGGGCGTTTGTGGGTATTCTTCCAGGGGGCACAGGTTTTGGTCAGTCGAGTTCATGGGCCGGTGATGTTGACTTCCTTCGGGTGGTCTCATCTCTGCTTCCAGGGGGAA